TCAATACTCCTCTTCCTTCTCCTCCTCCTTCTTCCTCTCCTCCTCCTCCTTCTTTTTCCTCCTCCTCCTCCTTCTCCTTCTTCCTCTCTTCCTCCTCCTCTTCCTCCTCCTCCTCCTCCTCCTCCTTCTTTTTCTTCTATATTTGGTATAAGATCTATTGTGTCTGCCTAAACAGGTGCTTTAATTTGCTGAGGTATCTGACCAGTCCCTTACTTTTAAATATATTAGCTAAAAGCAAAACAACCAATAAAAACAAAGCAAATACGGCCAAATATTTTGTTTTCAGTGTTAGTGTTGTTTTCTTTTTGCTTTTGCTTTTGCTTTTTGATAGTCTCAGTAGTTAGTTCAGGCTGGCCTTAAACTCAAGGCAATCCTCCTGCCCCAGCCTCCTAAGATCTGGGATTATAGGTTTAAACCACCATTCCTAATTCCAGGCTGGCTTTTTCTTGGGGGGGGGGACGGGAAAGGGGTACCAGGTAACAAACTCAGGACCTTGCACCTGCCAGGCAGACCCTTATGTCCAGGCTGGCTTTGAGGTAGCTCTTGATCTTCCTGCCTCAGTCCTCCAAATGCTAGAATTATGTACATATGCTAATATGCCCAGCTGAATTACAATAATTTTGTCTGCTCTGTCCCTTCTCCCAAACTGCCTGCTCCTAATCCATCCTCTCTACTGCTTGCCATAGTGATATCTCTAAAATACAAATATGGGGGCTGGGGAGATGGCTCAGTAGAATAAGTGCTTGCCTGGCAAGCACAAGGGCCTGAGTTCAATCCCCAGTGCCACACAAAAATAAATAAATAAAAAATAAAATACAAATATGACCGTGTGCTAGAGCTTCTGAAGGGTGAGTTGCATGGTATTTGATTATATCTCAATTTAAAACAAAAGATATGTAGTCCCCACCCCCCCCACCCCACCCCGTCCCCACCTGTAATCCCAACACTTGTGAGGCTGACACAGAATTTTGTGTTCAAGGCCAGCCTGCTCTGCATAGTGAGCTCAAGGCTAGCACAGACAACCTAATGAGACTCTGCTTCAAGAAACAAAACCAGGGGCTGGGGAGATGGCTCAGTAGGATAAACGCTTGACTGATAAATGCAAGGATCTGAGTTCAATCCCCAGTTCCGCCAAAAAAAAAAAAAAAAGAAAGAAAGAAAACCAGTAGGCTGGCCAGATAGCTCAGGGGATTAAAGCACCTGCTTAGGCAGATGAAAGGACTGGGGTTCCTCCTCAGCAAGCAGTGCTGATCCTGCCCTGAGGTAATTCCAGTGCTTGGGAGGCTGAAAACAGGAAGATCACTACTAGTCCAATCTGTGTAGTGACACCCTGTAGATCTTGTACTAAATACGTTTTAGAAAGAAAGAAAGAAAGAAAGAAAGAAAGAAAGAAAGAAAGAAAGAAAGAGAATAAAACCCTTGGACTCATCTTCTCGGACTCATTTCTCATAGTGTGCATTGCGCTCAGTGCTGGAGTCCCCTAACATGCTGCGTGCTTCTCTGCTTCACGCATCTGCTCGTACTAGTTAAAGCTAGCACTTTAGGCCTATGGCACCTCTCTGAAGTCTCCTGCACTCTTCCTCTGTGGTATGAACCAGTTTACTCTCACATTTTGTTATATTATGTGTATGTGTGTTATGGCCCAAGTTTTTGGTATTTTGAGACAGGCCCTCACTCTGTAATCCATGCTGGGCTTGAACTCATGGTGATGCTTCTGCCGTTGGCCTCCCAAGTGCTGGGATTACAGGTGTGCACTACCACACCTGGTTTATTATCGCACATATTAAATAGTACTTTGAATTATAGTAATTTGTGTAAATGCTCATTTTTAAATTTATACCAAGGATTAAATCCAGGGCCTAAGCCACATCTCCAACTCAATTTATTTATTTATTTATTTGTATATTTTTTGTCAGAACCAGGGATTGAACTCAGGCCCTTGCACTTGCCAGGAAAGCACTTATTCTACTGAGCCATCTTCCTGGCCCTACAACCCTATTTATGTGTTTAATTTTGAGATAGGGAATCACTAGGTTGCCCAGGCTGGGCTAGAGGCTTTAAAAAAATTTTTTTATTAATTTATTTATTTATATGTATTTAGTACAAGGTCTACAGGGTCTCATTACACAGATCGGATTTGTAGTGATCCTTCCTGTCTTTCAGCCTCCCAAAAGCTGGGGCACAACAGCACACCCAGTCTCGATCACTTTCTCAGTGCCCCAGGGGTGGGGCCTGCAGGCAGGTTGGGATCCAACCCTGGCCCCTGAGTCTGCCTGAACAGGCACTTTAATCTGCTGACCTATCTGCCTGGCCCTTGGGCTAGAGCTTTTGATCATCTTGCCTCTGCCTCCCAGAGCGCTGGGATTACAGGTGGGTACCACCATGCCCAGCCATGTGCTCATTTCTCATACTTCACTTTGAATCCCTTCAGAGCCATAGCTCATACATTTGTTAAGTTCTTTGTGCCTGGAACAGTGTATAGTATATGGTGGGTGTTCATTAAATTAGAATGCACTTTGAATAGGAGGATGAAGGGGGCGACATGGAACATGTACCCTCAAGAGGGGACTAAGCAAGGGACCATTCCTTTAGGACCCAGAGGCCAGGACTGGCTTGGTGTCTCAAGACAGCTCCAAACTAAAGCATGGAACAAGCAGCTGTATCCAGAATGGGCAGGACTCCAGGGCCCTGACTGCTGGAGAGGTGGGAACCCGGAAATTCTGGGGGAGGGCATGCTGGGGAAGGGCTGGGGAGGAGAGCAGGATCTGGGCTGAAGGCCAGCCACTTGAGAAGACAGGAAGGGAAAGCTTTATGGGGAGGGAAAGCCAAGGAATCTCAGCTAATGCAGCTTCCCGTTCCAGGTGGCCAGGTGACCCCAAAGGTCAGTAATGATGGGCCTACACTCCTTGGAGCAAATGCCTCCTTCTCCATTGTCCTGCACTTCCCTGAAAGCCAAAAGGTGCTGCCAAATGGTCAGGTTGTCTGGGCCAACAATACTGTCATCAATGGTAGGTGCCTTTCTACTCTTCCTAAGCCCAGTGAGCCCAGGGAAAATTATAGTCCTCAAACTGAGGGATGGCAGAATCTAGAAGCTGGGCAGAACTAGATTTAAATTCATCACAAACTTGTGACGTTATGTAAAGTGGGGATGGTACCTTCCTTGAAAGGTTGTTGTAAGGATGAAAATAGGGTAATATGTAAAGCATTCAGCCTAGGGCTATTGCGAGCTGGTGCTGTCATTTTTATCTCACTAGTTAAAAAAATTACTGAAACATTCTAATATATGGTCTTCCAGTTTTTTTCTTATGTAACCACACATACAAATGTTATATTGTGGTTTCCATATATGCTGACCTCCAGCTGCTCTCTCAAGTGAGTTATCCCATGGGGATTGTGCTTTCTAGCTAGAGAGGATTCCCAGAGCCCCTTTCTCATTCCTTAGGAACTACTTTAGGAATTTTTATGTATACAAAAGACTGCCAGGAGCTAGGCGTGGTGACATACTCCTGCAATCACAGCTATCCAGATGGCTGAGGCGGGAAGATTGTAAATTCCTGAGCAGCCTGGGAAGCTTAGTAAGAAGACTATCTAAAAAAGAAAAAAAGCTGGGTATGATGGTGTATGCCTGTAATACCAGTACTCACTCTGGGAAGCTGAGATGGGAGGATTGCAGTCTTGACCCCCATGTGGGAAATTTAGCAATTTAGTGAGACACCACTTCACCCCATCTCAAAAAAAGGGGGGCAGGGAACTTGTTACATCGCTCAATGTGAAGGTCCCTGGTTCAATCCACAGTCACACACACACACACACACACAGAACACAAAGAAGTGCTAGGATTTGAGGGTGACTGTACCTATCTTTCAGGGAGCCAGATGTGGGGAGGACAACCAGTATATCCCCAGGAGCCTGATGATGCTTGTATCTTTCCTGATGGTGGACCCTGCCCATCTGGTCCTAGGTCCCAAAGAAGATGCTTTGTTTATGTCTGGAAGACTTGGGGTGAGGGACTCCCTTCTCTGGCCTGCCATCTGTACTTCTTCCTACTTGGTCATATTTTTTTACAGTCTCTCCCCTTAACTTATGTGATGTTTCCCTGATCTTTATTTTCCCCTTGGCTCCTTCCTCTTTCATAGCACCTAGTCCCCTTCAATTCTTATTTTTGGGGGGCAATGCAGGGATGTTGGGGATCAAGTGGAGGCCCTCATACATGCTAATAATAATAATAACTAATATAATAATGATAGACCTAGCAGACTATCAAAAGTCTCTCTAGAAGTCCTCCCCCGGTTAAGTCCCACACCCATATCATAGCCATCCAAAATAGCCTCTGAAGTAATCACCTTTAATATTTTCCGATCTCCTTTCTTTGGTATTCTTTCTCAAATCCTGCCCTTCAGTCCCTATTGACCAGTAGCTTCCTCCTCCCTGCTTTTCTTTCCAATAACCTCAGGTCAGTACTGGCAAGTTCTCGGGGGCCCAGTGTCAAGGCTGAGCATTGAGACAGGACAGGCAGTGCCAGGCACACACACCATGGAGGTGACCGTCTACCACCGCCGGGGGGCCCGGAGCTATGTGCCCCTTGCTTACTCCAGCTCAGCCTTCACCATTACAGGTAAGAGTTTGGGATGGGGCAAGGCCAGTCGTAGGGCAGAAGAAAGAGGGAGGCTTGGTTGGACTGGAAAGGGAAGGGGAATGGTGCCCAGCCTTCAAGGGACAGGACCAGAAGACCTGGGCAGAGGAATGTAGGACTAGAGCCAGTGCAGCCCAAGCACTCAGCTTAGGCTTGGAGGCTATGGGTGTGAATGGGAAAGCTGGGGGCCTAAGTCTCACCCTTTCTGACTCTGACCCCAGACCAGGTACCTTTCTCTGTGACCGTGTCCCAGCTGCAGGCCTTGGATGAAGGGAACAAGCACTTCCTGAGAAATCAGCCTCTGACCTTTGCTCTTCAGCTTCATGACCCCAGTGGCTATTTGGCTGGGGCTGACCTCTCCTATACCTGGGACTTTGGAGACGGTACTGGGACACTGATCTCTCGGGCACTTGTGGTCCCTCACACTTACCTGGAGTCTGGCCTAGTTACAGCCCAGGTGGTGGTACAGGCTGCAATTCCTCTCACTACCTGTGGCTCTTCCCCAGTTCCAGGCACCACAGAGAGGCACATGCCAACCACAGAGGTCTCTGGCACTACAGCTGGGCAAATGTCCACTGCAGGAGTTGGGGTTACTACACCCAATCAGGTGCCAACTACAGAGACTTCTGGAACCACAGCTCTGCAGGTGCCAACCACAGAGGTCATAAATACTGCCTCTGTGCAGGTGCCAACCGCAGAGGGCACAGGTCCTACACCTGAGCAGGCACCAACCTCAGAGGTTATAGGCACCACACTTGCAGAGATGTCAACCACAGAAGCTCTTGGCACGACACAGACAAGGGTGTCAACTGGCGAGCCCTCTGGAACCACGGTTGCACAGGCAGTAGTTACACAGTCAGTAGAGACCACAGCTGGAGAATTACCCACTGCGGAGCCTGAGGATCCAGATGCCAGCCTATCTGTGCCTACAGAAGGCATTTCTGGTAAGAGGGGCAGTATGCATGGTATTCATGGAGGTGAAGTACTTGTCTTTTTTTTTTTTTTTGTACAAGGAATTGAATTCAGGACTGTGTGCTTGCCAGGCAGGCACTTATGTCACTGAGCTATCTCTCTGGGCCTGTATTTGTCATTTCTATATTTTGAAAGTCTTAGCAAGGATCTAGCTGTTACCCAGTCTTTGTGTAGCACTGTTATCTCCTTTGAGGTCTCTCTGGCTCTAACGTGCTCAAGTGCCCGCCTGCTTAACTGTCTGTCCATTTTTTTCGAGCCTAGGTCTCCCTTGCAGCCCAGGCTGGCACTAAACTTGCGATTATCTTGCCTCAGCCTCCTGACTCCTGAGCTCACCAACATTTGCCAGCACCTTCAACTTCTTAAAGACATGCAAGAGCTTTAGAGTGCAGGAAACTGAAGTTTTCACCTGGGTGATAAGGAAGAGTTTGTTACTTTCTACCCCTGAGGAGAAACACTAGGAAGGACAGAGGACACACTGTAATCATTTACATATTTCTATGACATTTTCCGGTCAAGCATAAGCACACAGAAATCTTTCTGTCTGGGGCCTCAGTCCTATTTCCCACTGTAAAATTCCAATCCCAGTGAAAAACAGGAAGCACAAGATAATGAAGCTGAAATGAGTTAACATATGTCTAGCCCAGGACTTGGCAAAGTATGAATAGGGATGATAAACACTTGGGGATTTTAAAAATTGGAGGGCCAGGGAGATAGCTCAGCAGCATAAGCGCCTGCCTGGCAAACTCAAGGTCCCAAGTTTGATCCCCAGTACTACAAAAAATAAAAATAAAAAATGGCAATGTGGGGCCGGGGAGATGGCTCAGTGGAATAAGTGTTTCCCTGGCAAGTGCAAGGGCCTGAGTTCAATCCCCGGTTCCGCAAAAAATCCCAGCACTCTGGGAGGCTGAGGCAAGAGGATCACAAGGTTTGAGCCCAGACTGGGCAATTTAGACAGTGAGGCTGTGTCTGAAAATAAAAAATTCAAAAGGGACTGTGGAGCCAGACATGGTGGTGCACACCTGTAATCCCAGCCCTCAGAAGACTGAGGAAGGAGGATCAACATGAGTTTGAGGCCAGTCTGGGCTACATAGTGAGTTCAAGACCAGCCTGAACTGCATAGAGAATCCTATGAAAAAAAAAAAGGAAAGATTAAATAGGGCCTGCCGTGCTGGTGTCTGCCTATAATCCCAGCACCCAGGAGATTAAGGCAGGAGGGTTGCTGTGAGTTCAAGGCTAGCCTGGGCTACAAAGTAAGTTCAAGGCCAGCTTGAACTGCATAATCAGTCTGTCTCAAAAATAGACAATAATGGAATAAGGGCTGGTGAGATGGCTCAGTGGTCTAAAGCACCTACTTAGAACAAGCTTAGCAAAGCCCAGGGACCACGGTTCAATCCCCCAGCACCACATGCCAGCCAGCCCGCCCCCTGATGGACT